ATGCTATCTGAGGGAACAAGGTTGGTCTTGCCCTCCTTCATGGACCACAGCTCTAGCAGCAGTTTGACCTTTAACTGTTTAGAGCTGCAATAAGATGATCTTCACATACTTAAAAACAAATTTAAACCAAAATGCTCCATCTAGTTTTGTATTTTAAAAAGCGAAAAAAAAAAGGGGGGGGAGGAGGGGAATTTTATTTGGCTGCTGCCACTCGGAAATAACACAGTAAGGTAACTTGGGAGAATGATGACTTTTAACATGTTAACCACGGACCATGCAACATTTTCATCAGCGTAAATATAACTCCTCGTTACTCTGCCAAGGTTGCACTGAATCATACAACCGCCAGTGAAGTCAGACTTCCTAAATATCCTTATTTCACATAAAAACACACTAATGAAAGTGCTTTTAATTTTAGGTAGTTCTTCTTTCTGAAAAACTGGTGTGTGTTACTCTGATAAACGAGGAATGCCAGGAAAACTGATCATCCAAGGAAAAATCCGGTTAGTGTTCAAACAAGTTCTTAGGGTATTTGTGTATGGAAAAAGCCCAGAGGTATTCAAGGATTGGCACCAGCATATTTATATTCGCATTCTCCTCAATTCAGTGTTAATATATCCTTCATCACAACCAACTTACTAATTACAGAGTGCACAGAGCCTCAGAAAGCTGCAGCAAGTTACAGGCTGGATTATTACTTCATATTGCTGAGGGACATGATAGCCCATAGTTACGAATGAGGACTCCCCTGTGACCAAGTGCTGTACAGTTTGAAGGCAACATCTCACAGACCTTACATTTAGAACCAAAGGAATGCATTAGCCCAAAGTAGGTGACACTAATTTCCCAGTCAAGGCATTTTTCATCCTCTCAGGTGAACTGAAATTGTATATATTCAGTTTCCTTCTCTTGTATTTCAGAGAGAGCACCCCACTTAATCACTTCAGTGGTCTTGGAGCACGCCAAAGGTCATGCGACATGCAACTACTGGCCCTTCAGGTCTTTGCTGAAACAAGGTTTGTAGCTCATGCAGTTACTTCCTAAATCAAATATAAACTGAGGACACTGGCATTTATGTTAATGAAGTGGTACCCCATTCTAGTGCTGATGTCCTTGCCTGCATGTATTTCAGGCCAGAGTGGGCCACTTGTGTCACCTCACTTGAACTCCTACAACGAGAGCCAGAGACACCCACCCAGGTATTCCTGTCCTCAGCCCAACAACTGCAGGTGAAACAACGACGTGTAACATTTATGCGTACCTGCAGAATGTGCACAGGAAAGCTGAAAGTCAGTACAAGAGGGGAGTACGGAACTGGCAGTTTCTTAACACCCAGTTTGTTGCATCTTCCCTATATGAGAATATGTATTAAGCTGACGATGACTGGCTTTAAATATACCAGACTCCAGGGACAGGTGACAGTGAACATAGTCCACAACCTTTCATCACTGAGTTCAAAGTCCAGTTCAGCTCACAGGCAAAATGAGATTCATAGTCTAGCCCTTAATTCCTGAAGCTTGGATACATTTTTTCAAAGTGCTGCAATTGCATAACACAAACAACAAGGACTGCCAGAAACTGCGATTGAAACTTCTCCAGTGTTTGATTGACTCTACTTGTACTATCAGGCCCCAGCTTGACATTTGCCTGAATAGCTGAATACCAGATGGGAGAGAAGGTGGCAGGGATAATACAAATATTTTTATTAAGTTGTTGAAGTGGTTTTGACAACAACAACAGTAACATTATACCCTTAAAAATGCCACACTGAAAAATTGTCCTCAAGTTTATCTATCGTCCAAGATGCATTTAGCAACAGCAGCATCTTTACATATAAAAATCGTGAGGTTCATCATTATTTTCAACATAAACTCAATAAACAAAAGGAAGGTATGTAATTCCAGTGAGCACACAGGTAACTGGACAAGTCTGGGAACAACCGCTGGGCCAGTTGCAAATATGTGAACTTACAGAATAATTCCTATTGCCAACAGGGAGCTAGCTTTCTTTGAACTTCAGGGGAAATGAGGATAAACTAGTTATTGTAAAAGATGATCATTAGTATCACCATAGCACTTTCTAAAAGTCTAACCAACAAGCCAAAGGATGAGCTGAAGCTAGTTATTTACTTCCAAAAATATAACTATGTTTAGCTCCAAACAAATACTTCCACATACATGGCTGAAAAAAGATCAGAAGGTATAGCAGCTATTTTGAAACCTGCATTTCCATCAAACATCTTCGTTTATTTATATATTCCCCACTTGCCTTGAAGTATTGCCCACACAAGCAGCATTTCCCACTTTGGAGAATAACCATTAATTTCACACCGCAATGTTTTTTCTAGAGATATAATTACACAGAAGACAAGTATTCTTTATTAAAATATCTGAAGGCATGTCAGGTAGTTATGACTGGTAGTTATTCAGGAGCATAGGTTTTCTTTTCTTTTTTTTCTTTTCTTTGCCCCCCCCCTTTCTTTCCTTGTTTGCCAGCTAATAAGAGCGTTGAAAAGGTAAAGGAGTGACTTGATCCCAATGCATTTTTAACGTTGTAAGAAATGATGCACTGAGGTATGGAATAATAAGGCTGAAAGTGTTCCGTGCAAGACAACTGCTCTAACAGACACTTGACATCAACAAATGCATTCTCCCAGGGCCTGGCACACTATGAATGAATTGTGACATTTTCTTACTATTCATTCTTTTAAGATAATCTCTAATTTCTTCCTTCTACTTGTATTTTATAGAGCAATTGGGATATACATTTTATGAATTGTTGAAGCTCCTAGTATCCCCCAGTTGGGAAAATGAGTTATTTTTATGGACATAACTATGTCCAGATCCCAAAGCTTGCGTCAAAGCAGAATACAACTAAATCTGTTCCTCATGTTCTTCCTGTTGCTTTTTTTAGTTTCTGCTTTCATCCTACAACTCATGTTATTTCTCTTCTTTTGCCTCTTCTGATAATATACCCAATGTAACATGCCATTTACAATTTTAGTGTTTTACTGTTGTATGCCAAAGACATGTCAGCATAGCCTCTGAATCAGAAGTTGAGAGCATCTTGCAAAGTTACAAAGCTTTGTCTCATCAGAATGACATTTCTCTTGGGATCGAAGCATTCTGACTATGATAAAAAGTCATAGAAAGAATGCAGGCACACAAAGCGATTCAATGCAGCTGGGAGCCAACACACATCAGAAGCTACATACAAGACAAGGGAAAAGAGGAAGAAAAGAGAGGAGCGAGAAGGGGATGTGTGTTGAAGGATGGGAGCAGGGAGGGAAGAGAGAGAATGAATGCACACTCACATAAAGAAGGGGGAAGGTAATTTTACCAATTCTTTCTTGCTGGTTCATAGAAATCACTAAACTGACTGCTAATTACAAAGTGTCTATACTCCAGTTTTCGGGAAGAGGAAATAAGCTTAAGTCTTTTTATGGAAACAAAGCCTCAAAATCCTTCACTTTTTAAAGCACCAATCTTGTCCGTTTCCCCTATGATGGATACTTATGAAATTCTGAAGTTGCCACGTTCTAGTATCTAAATGTACAAATACATAGCTTTGAAAATAAATGCAGAGAAGAATAGGAAATGTTATATGGGCAGCAAAGGTAAGAAATGTGTTGGATCTTCAGCACTTGAAAACAAACCTAAACAAACTGGTAAAGCCTGAAGTCCAACCCAGTATGCAAACATCACATCAGTGTTAATAAAAGACGGAGATTAAGAGCTGCAGCTAGCAAAGAATGTTTTCTAAAGAAAACTGGATTTTTGACTGAAAGACCACTTTCACAAAGATTTATTTTCCTGAGAAATGCAACGTTCTGCTGTTTGCGATCTCTCTGGAAAGGAGACTCCTTCTCTGAGAACTTTCCCTTTGAATCCCGGTTGTGGGGAAAGCCAATGGCCTCTGATGGAAGTTACCATTCAGTCCTGGTCACTAAACATTTAAAATTAACTTCTTTCAATTTGTAGTACTCTTCAGAGCAGCCTTAATATGAGTCCAGGGATGTGATAAATTCCACATCCTCATTTTGACGTTTCTGACGAAATCTGAGACTGCCTGTCCTTGAGATAACTACCCCAAGTCAAAACCGATAACCTGAAAGAGGGCAAGAATATCAAGAGAATATCAAAACTCGGTTAGATCCACAGAACTCAGAATTTTTAGTAGACAGGACAGACCTATACCACAAAACCTGTTAAGCACTCTGCTTGTGGAAGCCCGAATTTATCACAAGCAATGACAGGCTGCTAAAAACAAATAAAAAGAGAGAGGAAGGGTGAAATGATGAGATAAAGGACTTAATAAACACATTGACATCAGGGTGAACATTTTCAAAGCGATTCCTTACTTTCAGTAATAAAAGCCTATCCCTAAATGCATTCTTCAACACAGTGGAACAAGATGCACTTTTTTGGTGTGTGCATGGGTGTTGACAATTAGAGATTTGGAGGGGTGGGGGTGGAAGTTGAAATAGATGCTGGGCACTTGCAAGCAAACCAAAACTGTCTGCAAAGAGCCACTTCCTGCTGGTGACTAAGCCTTCACCCAAACAGTCAAGAGGAAGGGGCATAAGTAAAGCATTGCAAACGACCATCTCAATTGTATCAGAGTGGAGACAACTAGGACAAACAAACTCAGGAAGTGGCAGGGAGTTAGAAACCGAGAGGAAATCTATGGCACAGAGAGGAAAGTGAAGAGATTGCGCCGATCTGCGGAAAGGGTCACCTCTGGGTCGCACTGTGCCAAGCTTTTTCAAAACCGCTTTATTTGGACTATAATACAAAACTGGCACACACAGCTGGCGACTGCTGCAGAGGCTATTCAAATGTTAACATTCTCAATGATAAACAGCCAAAAAAAGTTCTATGTAAGCAAATTGGAACAAACAACTAATCTAAATCTGGTTGCTAAGAGACAGAGGATTTCAGCCAAAACCAGCCCCAAGCCTCAAGAATACTTTATTTTTGATTAAAAAAAAAAAAAAGTACCTGTAGATGACGCCATGTTGGTGAAGAAACATGAGTGCTGATGTGACCTCTGCTGCATAAAAGCGGGATCGAGGTTCGTCAAATTTGCGTGAGCGCTGGATTTGAAACATTAGGTCTCCTCCATTTACATATTCCATGACGAAAAAGAGGCGGTCCTGAAATTAATTAAACAGTGCTATTTAGCTAATTTCTTTTAGTCACACAAAGGACTGCTTGAAGCTACACTCTAGGTGACTGCAGCATTTGCGTCAAGAAATGAAAGAAACAAATGCTACAATTCTGAAAAAGAAAAGCTGACAAAATCCCCTGAACCTAAAGAAAACAAGAGCCTCAAAGTGAGAAATGAGAAAAAGAGCATAGAATCAAAATGTAGTAATAAGCAATACATATGCAAATCTCCACACATCAACAAATACATTTGGAATTATAATCAATTTTATATAATAGCGGAGATACTTAAGTGATGCTCTTTCTTTAAAATTTAGCCGTAACAATGAAGAGGTAAAGTCAATACTGTCAACTACTGATGGGCTGCTGGGCAAATTTCAGGCTCCTTATTTCTTCTCTTATCGCTTACCAGCTACTTTGTCTGCAAAGTATCTTTCCACAATTATGTAAAAAGAAATTAGAATTCTTAAGCTGTAGAAATCAGTGCTGCCAATCTCAAACGCTTCCATATGACTTTCTGAATTGTCTCGAACTCTCATACGGCAATGAAATAGAATTACATTATTAAAATACATATCAAGGTATTTTCATTTTCTTCTGATGCTTATCACTTCAAAGTTCAAGTTTTCAAGCCTTATTCCATGATGGAGAACTAGAAATGAACTTGACTTGAGAACAGCAACTGAGATTTTCAGGTCATCACCCCATTTTGGTGTGTTTCATAAAAAAATCCCAAAGTTAGGCACTCGGTGAAATAGTCAAAACTGAGAACACCAGTAAACTAAATCTATGCTTAGCATCTTGAAACATTTATGATCTAAACTGACAACGTAGGAAATCCCAAAGTTAGGCACTCGGTGAAATAGTCAGAACTGAGAACACCAGTAAACTAAATCTATGCTTGGCATCTTGAAACATGATCTAAACTGACAACGTAGATGAAGGCATAAGCAAAGAAATGACACACATCCACTTGATATAATTTAGATCCAATTTTTTGTTAATGTTTCTTACACATTTTCATAGTTTTCCCTCATCTGTACTATCAGCCCTAAATAATCATCAATTCTTTGCCCATTCACCCTTGGTTTCTAAGCCTACTTCCACAGTCTTTATTTCCTTACTGTAAAATATCTACATCTATATGCACATGACTTTAGGTAGAGGTGGAGGTAATTCTCATGGGATATGGAGAATGGATCTGAGCACATACTCCTCACTCTGCATTAGCACGCGTTTCGTTCTCTCGTCACATGATACACGGGTGTGTAAGCATGGGACTTCACCAAAGGGAGCCCTGCTCCAACTTTCATGTCATGCTGCAGTTTAGCTCTGGGTCGTGGTGTCGGGTGTGCTGGGTGGAAGAAAAGGAGATGAGATGTGGTATCACTTTGAACAAGCAAAACCAACAGAAGATGGAAGTTAATTAACCTCTCACAAGTGAATCCAAGCCTGCAGATTACATAGTTTATATATATGAGTCCAGAAATTCATAAATGTTTGCTGTTTGTCTTTAATCACCTACTCTACAGCTCAGATTCAAAGCATAGCACTTAAAAATATCCTTAAACTTAAGCATGTGCATTAATCCTGCTCATTAAGTGCCTCAATGTTATACTTATCAGGGGAGTTTCCTGGAGGAGGCTACAAATGTTTGGCTGACTTTTTGCTGATTACAGAAAGAGGATGCAGAAAAAAACCCTTGTGCCTTTCCCCCGTATCTTGGGAACACAGAAACTGCCAGACTGGATCAAATTCAGGATCTGGGTGGACTGGCATTCTTGGTAAAACACTGCTAACAAACTTTGGTACATTTTCCAACATTTTTCTTACATTCCCTAGTACAGAAAACCTGCTAAAGAATAGTATCAAAGCTTCTGGCTGTATCATATACCCCAAAAAGCACAGCTTCAGAGCCATGCCTTTGTTCTTTTTGCTATCCTTAATACTGCTGATAAGAAGCATTCAAAGTCATAGTGCAGATCTCTCAACATTCGTGTAGCCTTTAAATATTACCTTGGGTTTTTTTAAGCAAAAATATGTGTCCTTGTGCTGTCTCTCTGGATTTCTTCCTTGTGATTTCTCTCTGGAACCCATGAGAATTACAGCCTTGCTTTTAAAAGAAAATCTGATAGCTCTCAGAGATGGTCTCACGATTTCAGAAGTTAGAGCTTAAGGATAACACGAACTGCAGTCAGTTTTGTGATAAAGTCAATCAAAAGCGTAGCTATATTGGTACTGTCATGTAGCATAAGAGGATACAATGTCCCCAAGAAGAAGATGTAGGCATTGTCCTTCCTTAGGCTCCTCATCGCTGCACTACAGATTGTATCTCTGAAGAGCAGCCCGAGTGTCCCTTTGCAACACATTGCCTTAGACTATTTCACATGGATATAGTTCAGTGTTTCAAGTACAAAACCCATTTGGACTGCAGGCTGGGGAGCATCTGACTAACATTTGGCTAAAGTAACTTCTAACACTTGCTGAAACTGAACCTTTTTACATTTCTATTTTGACCTTTCCAAAGTCAACAGTCTGGATGTGGGTGGGCACAAGCAGGACAAGTAAGCTGCAATTCACATTCCCCTGAGCAGCCATACTCATTCTCAACATTGCTACCTTTTTGCTACACCTCTATCACCAGTATAAAACCAACGATTCTGATGCAAAGCCATTGTGCTGTGTCTTACAGCTGTGACTCCCAAACAGTCACCCTCAACTTGCCACTGAGCTGGGAGCTGCTGCTCCCAACAGCGATGCCACCACTCTTCCAACTGCTGGGGATGGTGTACAGAGGGGGGGGAAAAAAAAAAAAAAAAAAAAAAAGAGGAAAAAAGCCTGGTTTACACAAATGTACAGATCAGGGCCATTTCCTAACATGTCAGGATATACATTGTATTGTTTTTATATTAAATACTGTGTTTGATCCAAACAGAACCAATATTTTTTGTGCCATTCACCAAATGTCTACTTGCTGGTTCTAAATATCAGAAATTGTGTTTAGTTAGAACTTCAAATGCTTTTATTTTGGTTCAGTCCTTTGTAGGACTTTTCCAGTTTAGCCAGCTGAAAATCTAACCTGGATCGTTCAGCAAAATATCTTGTCATTAGACAGTCTGAACAAAAGCTTTAGCAGCAGCTCCATTCCCAGAACTGCAGCGCTAACTTTCCTGTCCTCTTTCACATCTTATTATGCACATCCCATTCTCAATGTGAAGGGGTATTTCCGGCAGATTCTGCAGCTTAGTTGTCCGCCTCTTCAAAACTCTATCTACTAAAACTAGAATTAACAGCTCAGTGATTGAAATTGCTCTGCTGTTGCATTTTTCTGCTGCTATTTCAAGGTACTTTTCCAGCTTTCCTGGGTGCATGTTTCAGCTTCCTAATGAGAAAAAAAAAGTAGTTTGAAAGTTCTGTTCTCTATTTACAGTGAAACTGGAAAAGGGGTTGATTTTGAGAGAAGAAAAATACTTGTCCTCACCCACTAACATGGAGTAAACAATAAGATGCACATGCATAGCAGGCCAGAGTTTCAACATTAGAAGGTACCGTCTTTTTTGACTCAGTCCCTATGAAAACTACTTTCTTAAAACCCCCCTCTGGGTTTTTTTTTTTTTTTTTTTTTTTGCTCAGGACAATGGCATGATCAGCTGGGACTCAAATTTACATTAAAAGAGGATGCAAGAGAAGAGAAAATATTTTATGAATAATGAGCTGAGATTGTAAGTCCATTTTTCTCCTGATTCCCATAACTTCAGCAACAACAGAGACACTATGTTTGCTACTTTAATTTTTTCCCAGTCTTTCATCAAAAGTTAACAATCAAAAGACAGACTCCTAGCACTCTGGTTATTTTCTTTCTGTCATAATGTATGCAGACACACAGAGTGACCCAATGAGACCCCTGTGACTTTGATGCAGAGATGATTTCATCCTCAAACTGGAATTGTGAAACAACTGTATCATGCCTGATTATATGCGTCTTGCTACATGTATCACCAGGATATATTTAAATATTGAAGTGGGAGAATATAAAGTGAACGCCCTAAAGAATTATGCATTATTAAGGCACAACACAGTGTTTACTCAGTTAAAAAGGAGATATAAGGTATGACTTATCGTTGATTGTGCTCCAAGAGAAAATTGCATGGGTTTGGACTGCATTATTTTTCCACTATGTTTTCATAACATTTTAGAAGTATGTTTTGATGAACAAAACAAATGTAAAGCAGTCCTGGGAACTCTTTAATTATATAAACTGAAATAAAAGGCAAAATGACAAATAAAGACATGATAGCTTAATCCTCTCTTGGCATCTATAAAGCAAAAAGGTACTGCAAAGTAAGCCAATATGTTTCCTGAAGTAATTAGATTCTTTTACAGGGTTTATTTTAGCCCTTAATCATACCTGCTCTTCCTTGAATTTCTCAAAAAGTATATTGAATAAGAATACTTAATAAATGGAAAGACAAAAGGAGCAGAGTGCATGAGTAAGAGATTTTAAAAGCAAAGCAGATACGGAGTAAACAGGCTAGAAGTCAAGACAAAAGTTCAACTTCACTCTGTATATCCATAGTACTTTCTGACTATGGCTTTAACTACTATGCTGGAATGCATACCTGCCTGTCTTAACAGGGTGTTGGCCTAGATGACCTTTCAAGGTCCCTTCTAACCTAAACTATTCTATGATTCTCTGATTAACATCTCTATTATTCCAATCTCACCTCTAGTTTTTCTTAATTGGGATTGTCCCCTGCACGCTTTACATTTTCAAAACTGGACTCTAAAAGCAACCTCTCTTTTAGTCTCTGTCCCTATCACTATCTGGAAAAGTATGCTTATCACTTAAACTAGAAATCTTGCTTCATCTTCTCTCTCATTCCACTCCTTTAATTGTGCCCTGATTTCATTTGTCATTCTCCTTGACATTTAAAATAACCATCCTTCAGCTCTACAGTAAATCCTTCTAACTAAATTCTTTACTTTT